GTGGGCTTGATCCCCAGTAAGGGGCATGCAGGAGGCAGCAGATCAATGCTTCTCTCTCATCAGTGTTTCTGTCTCTCTATTCCTCTCCTTTCCTCTCTCTAAAAAATCAATAAGAACATATTGAGAAAAAAAAAACAGAATAAGCTCAAAAATGGGTGAAAGACTTAAATGTAAGTCACAAAACCATAAAAATCCTAGAGAAAACAAAGGCAGTAAAATCTCAGACATCTCACATAGCTGCATTTCCCCCAATACATCTCCTAGGGCAAGAGAAACAAAGGAAAAAAAATAAACAAATTGGATTACATCAAACTAAAAAGCTTCTGCACAGCAAAAGAAACCATCAACAAAATGAAAAGGGAATCCACTGTATGGGGAAACATTTACCAATGATATATCTGATAAGTGCTTAATTTTCAAAATATATAAACAACTCATCCAACTCAACCCCAGGAAGATAAACAATCCAATTAAAAAACGGGCAAAGGGCCTAATAGACATTTCTCCAAAGAGGATATACAGATGGCCAATAGACATATGAAAAAATGCTCAATGTTACTGGAGAAATGCAAATCAAAACTACAATGAAGTATCACCTCACACCTGCCAGAATGGCTAACATCAATAAATCAACAACAGCAAGTGCTAGCAAGGATGAGGAAAAAAGGGAACCCTTGTACACTGTTGGTGGCAATGCAGATTGATGCAGCCATTGGGGAAAACAGTAAAGAGTTTCCTCAAAAAATTAAATATGGAACTGCTGTTTGACCCAATAATCCCACTTCTGGGAATATATCCTAAGAATCTCCAAACACCAATCAGAAAGAACATATGCACCCCTATGTTCATAGCAGCACTATTTACAATAGCTAAGATCTGGAAGCAGCCCAAGTGCCCATCAGTAGATGAGTGGATAAGAAAACTGTGGTACATCTACACAATGGAATACTATGTAGCAGTAAAAAAGAAGAATCTCTTACTCTTTTAGACAGCATGGAGGGACCTGGAGATTATTATGCTCAGTGAAATAATCCAGTCAGAGAAACACAGATATCACATGATCTCACTTATATGTTGAATCTAGTGAACAAAAGAAACTGAGGACCGAAATAGTTCCCGAAACATAGATGCATGGAACAGATCGACAGATCTCAAAGGAGAGGTGTGTGGGCGGCATGGGAAGAGATTAACCAAAGAATTTATACCCATATATGCATAGCCCATGGACACAGAAAATAGTATGGGGAAGCCTAGTGTGGGGTGGGTGCTGGGTGGAGGGTACAAAGTTGGGGAAAATGGGGGACTTCTAGAATATTGTCAACAATAAATTTAATAAAAAGCTTCATTCAGGCATGAATTAATACTATTGACTGTGAGGTCAATGTTATTGATTCAACAACTTATATTAAAGTGTCTTTAGAAATGCACATAAAACAAGGTTATGTTTAATTAGTTGATGAAATTGTTGTGGCCAAAGCTCACAGGAGCCTAACTGTATTTCCTCTAAGAGCAATGGTTTGCTTTTCATAAATTCAGTGTTCATGGTGGCTTTATAGAGCTTAGTTACTTTGAATAATGAAACGGTCTATAATTTTATCTTTGTTGTTGAACATTTTTACTCAGTTTAAGTAGCAATTACAGCAATGACTGGTGTTTCACGTTTGACAGAATGAACTTCCAAAAGCTTTACTTTGATGGATTATGTGAAAACAATCAAACAATTATTAGAATTAACTGATTTTTCTAGTTGATATATCTCCTGACACTGATAAGAAGCTACCATCATTTAAGTGTGAATTTCTTCTGCTAATAGAGCCAGCAAAATATCAGCTGTCACTTAACTTTGACTATTTAAATAAGATAATTTGTAATCATAGCTGACTAAGAAATGTAAAGAACAGTCTTTTTTTATTTTTATTGTTGACACTATTACAGATGTCCTCATTTCCCCTCCCTTTTCCCACCTCTACCCAGCCCACCCCCACCCTCCTTCCCTCTGGCCATCACCATACTGTTGTGTGTGTCTATGGGTTATACATATGTATTTAAAGAACAGTCATTTGACCTAATTGGAAAGCCATGCTTTATAGAGTAATATTTAAAACATCTTCTCCATATGCTTTTCTTGGTGTAATCAAGCTAGGCATAAGCAGGGGCAGCAGCATTGAATATTTCTTCGACCTTCATCTAAGACTAAAGGAGTCAGTTTTCCCTGGCTACTCCTGAATGCTCCTCTTTCTGTAAATGGCTTGGATGCTATATTTGAGGATGAAGTTATAGTTACAGCCCATCAGTTACAGTCCATCCAGGGATGGGCTACTGCTCAGGGCCTTTCAGATTTAACCACATGTTAAATGGCACTAGGTTCACTGCACATGCATTTCACACTGCTCAATGAGATTATGGCAGAACCTGAAAATAAAAGTCCTGGCTTATTATACTACTTTAAAAAAATCACTAGAAAATGTGAAATCCAGGACAAATAATAAATTGGTTGAGACAGTGGGCATAATTTGGTACTGTCTCAGGCAAACTGTTACACATAGATACTTTGCCAGACACTTTTTTCAAAAATCTCCTAATCCCCAACCCTTATTATTTTCCCTCAAAAAGACTGTGCCCTCAATATGATTTACTTGTTTATAACTGTTTAGTAATTTCCACAGCATTATGCACATAGAAAAGAATGTGAAACATCCTTCTTAGTCAGTTTTTATTCATTGTGGCCTTTTTTTCTATAACCTTTTCTATTTATCTTAAAACTTTTATTAAAATTTGCATGCCTTTATTATTATTTTTTCTGAATATAAGTCTTTTATTAGATATATAATTTGCAAATATTATCTCCTATTTGTTAGCTTGACTTTTCATTTTCTTTTTTGTTTTCCTTTTTATTGAATCCATGGGGGTGACATTAGTTAACAAAATTGTACAAGTTTCAGGTGCACAATTCCACATAATCTGTAAACTATATTGTGTGTTCACCATACCAAGTCATGTCTACTTCCATCACCATTTATCATCCCATATGCCCCTCCACTTTTCCCCCACCCCTCTCCCCTCAGCAGTCACCACACTGTTGTCAGTGTCCATGAGTTTTTTCTCTTTTTTTCTTTTTGCTCAATCCCTCCAACCATCCCCCAGCCTCCCAACCCTCTCACCCCCACAGCTCCCAGCCTGCTTTCTATGAGTCTGTTTATTTTGCTTGTTAGTTCATTTTGTTTCCACATGAGTGCAATCATATGGTACTCGTCTTTCTCTGACTCGCTTATTTCACTTAGCATAATGCTCTTCAGGTCCATCTATGCTGTCACAAAAGGTAAGATTTCCTTCTTTTTTTTATAGCTGAGTAGTATTTCATTGTTTAAATGTACCATAGCTTTTTTTATCTACTCATCTACTGATGGACACTTGGGCTGCTTCCAAATTTTGGCTATTTTAAATAACTCTGCAATGAACATAGGGGTGCATATATTCTTTTGAATGAATGTTTTGGGTTTCTTCAAATAAATTTCCAGAAGTGGTATCACTGGGTCATAAGGCAGTTCTATTTTTAATTTTTTGAGGTGACTCCATACTGCTTTTCACAGTGACTGCACCAATCTGTATTCCCACCAATAGTGCACAAGGGTCCCCTTTCCTCCACATCCTCTCCAAACATTGATTTATTGACAATAGTTATTCTGACAGGTGTGAGGTGCTAGCCATTGTGGTTTTAATTTGCATTTCTCTGATGATTAGTGATGTTTTCATATGTCTGTTGGCCATCTGTATGCCCTCTGTGAAGAAATTTCTATTCAGGTCCTTTGCCCATTTTTTATTTGAATTGTTTGCTTTTTTTGGTATTGAGTTTTATAAATTATTTATAAACCTTGGATACTAACACCTTATCAGATGTATCAGCAAATATGTTCTTCCATTGAGTGGGTTGTCTTTTCATTTTGATAATGGTTTTGCTGTGCAAAAGCTTTTTAGTTGTATGTAATCGTATTTCTTTATTTTTTTCTTTTGTTTCTCTTGTCCAAGTAGATATATCAGAAAAAATATTACTGTGAGAAATGTCTGAGATTTTACTGCCTATGTTTTCTTCTAGAAGTTTTATGGTTTCGAGTCTAACATTGAAGTCTTTATTTATTTTTTATTTTTTTAAATATATATTTTTATTGATTTCAGAGAGGATGGGAGAGGGAGCGAGAGATAGAAACATCAATGATGAGAGAGAATCATTGATTATCTGCCTCCTGCACACCTCCTACTAGGGATCAAGCCCACAACCCAGGCATGTGCCCTTGACCAGAATTGAGCCCAGGACCATTTAGTCTACAGGCCGACACTCTATCCACTGAGCCAAACCAACTGGGACTAACATTGAAGTCTTTAATTCATTTTGAGTTTATTTTTGTAGATGATGTTAAAAGGTGGTCTAGTTTCTTTTCTTCTTCTTTTTTTTTTTGGCATGTAACTGTCTAGTCTTCCTAGCACCATTTATTGAATGGTCTGTCTTTACCCCATTGTATGTTTTTACCTCCGTTGTCAGGTATTAATTCTCTATAAAGGTATGGGTTTATTCCTGGGCTGTCCATTCTCTTCATTGATCTATATGTCTGTTTTTTTATGCCAGTGCCATGCTGTTTTGATTACTATGGCCTTGTAGTAATCTAAGGTTGATGTAAGATAGGGAAATTCCTCCCACTTTTTTCTTTTCTTTTTTCTTCAAGATTGCTGTAACAATATGGGGTCTTCTGTTGTTCCAAACAAATTTTTGGAATAATTCTATGAAATATGCCATTGGTATCTTGATAGCATGCCTTTGTTTTTAAAGATATATAATTCATATATACAATTATTCTCCCTTACATTAATTCTTTTGTTAACTTAATAAAAAATTACATAGTAATTAAAAATGAAATTTTGGAATGAAAGGAAAGTAGTTTTACATATATTTGATAAAAATGGATTATCTGAATATGATTATAATAATACTTTATATTCTATTACAGGATTAATTAAAAGAATTTACCACATATTTTATGACTTTTTACTGGAACATTGAGAGATAGGTAAGTGACAAGCATTTTTTGAAGAAATATTTCTGAAAATAATTTGATCTAACAGTTTCCTGACAAAGTGAGCAATGGAGATTTACCTCTTTTCTTCTCAATGAAACATTAATAGAAATGTCATGTTTACATTAATTGTAATGTAACATTTTCCTATCATCCAATAAATCATATTTTCCAAGGAACTGTATTTTTATAATAATTATAATTAGGACATTGGTAATAAGACACACAAGATTAGCATGTTCTAAAACTTAAAGCACTAAAAACATGTCATTAAATGCAATGTGGTACCATACATTGGATCTTAGAACTGATAATAGACATCCGTGAGGAAAATCCAAATAAAGGCTGTAGCTTAGTTAATAGCAATGTACCAATGTTAGTTTCTTAGTTTTGATAAAGCCATGGTTATGTAAGATGTTAACTGTAGGTGAAACTGGGTGAAGGGTATATAAGTTCTTTGTAATATCTTTGCAACCTTTCTGTAAATCTAAAATTATTCCCAAACAAAAATTTATTTAAAGCAGGGAAATATCAAGGTTTATTGATTTGAAATTATAGTTTATAAGTGACTTTTCTGTGTAGTAGTTTGAAAAATTAAAATTATCTTTTTAAAAATCCAAATTTCATGAAATAGAGATATAGGGAAATATGCGACTATAGGTTTCATAAGAGGTGTGGGACTTTATTTTTTGGATAGTGGTATGGTACCCATGAACATCTCCTTGTACTTGGCTACAGCTTTGCTCTGAGTCCTTCCAGGTACTTGTGTGTTCTTCAGTAGTTTAGTACAGCACTTTCTGTTATCACAAGCAGGCCCTTTAAATGGTTTCCAGAACACTGTTTTCTTTTCTTTTTTTAATGTACTGTTAGCGGCAAAAAGACTAGTGATGTGACTCAGTGGTTTGGAGTTGAGACTCTCTTAGTGTAGTTTGGTTCAGTCACACTTATTTGAGCTTGTAGATCAAGTACTAGATACAGATGACCTGTTGTTGTTAAAGATCATGAATAAAGATGAGTGTAACTCTTAAATAACCATTTCTATAATTGCACTAAAATAATTTATCAGTTTCCAAAATGAACTCTAGCAGTATAACTCTTTTAAATTTCTATAAATATTAAAAGAGTATAAGAAGGGAACTCTGAAACTATTACATAACTTTTCATTTATAAAAGTAAAATGGCCATGCTGGCCTTATAAATGGTTTCCTGCTTCTATTGCCAACTTTAATGATTTTAGTTAAACTTAAATTTCATACAGGGAAATAGAAATACACTATACTTAAAGGATATAGACATTTACAACAAGAGACCTGGTCCTGAATGATTCTTACAGAATAATTGTTAGGCTTGGAAAGTTCTGTTTTTGCTTGATATTTATTTAGAATTGTTATCAATCTCATGTTAATAGAATTCACACCTTTACTTCTTAGTTGTGTAACATAACTGTGCCAACCTTGGTAAAGAAGTTTAGAAAAATGGAGAATTTTTTTTTTCAGGATAGTTTAACTGTTATTGATTATATACCAGTTTATACAACTAAAAAAACCCAAACACCCTTTTTATCATTCTTCTATGTTAGAGGAGCATTAAAAGTGTTGCTTTTAGAGACATGCTTTATCATTCAGCTGACTGTCACTTTATGATAATCTAAAGTATAAATGAGAATAGCTAATATGTGTTGAGCACTTTCTATGTACCAGGCACTTTATTTACAATGATCTCATTTAATCTTCACAAACACCTATGAGATGTTTAGAATTCCCTGTATAGCTGAGACTGAGAGAGTAACAGATGTCTTCAGGCTAACCCTGGGGTATGGGGCAGAAAGAACAAGTGCCCCTGGTGGCTGTACCTACAGTTTGGTTCATAATGTTACCAGCTTCCAGGAAATCCTGAATCCTTGGACGCATGGTAAACTTCAGATACTTTAGTTCAGCGGTTCTCAACATGTGGGTTGCGACCCCTTTGGGGGTCGAACGACCCTTTCACAGGGGTCGCCTAAGACCATCGGAAAACACATATATAATTACATATTGTTTTGTGATTAATCACTATGCTTTAATTATGTTCAATTTGTAACAATGAAAATACATCCTGCATATCAGATATTTACATTACGATTCATAACAGTAGCAAAATTACAGTTATGAAGTAGCAACGAAAATAATTTTATGGTTGGGGGTCACCACAACATGAGGAACTGTATTAAAGGTTTGCGGCATTAGGAAGGTTGAGAACCACTGCTTTAGTTCTTCTGGATAAAAGGATGTCTGATCACACTCGGTAACCGAGATTAGATTTTTCCATGGGGTAACTAGTCTGGAGTACAATCTCCTATTCTCTGTTTCAACCTTGATCTGGCTCATTCTGCAGTTTCCTAATACGTCAGTTGTTCTCTGTCACCTGATTAATTGCTGAATACTCACTTACTGTGTGCTTCATTGATCATATGCCAAGAACTTTTGGCAGCTCTGGGGAATATGATCTCAATGTGTCTCCTGGTCAGTGTTGAGCAACTAGAAGTTGTTAGTTGGGGTGAGTACTTGGATCCAGAAGTTAGGACACATGCCAGAGGTTAGGGATAGAACAATTGAGCAGCTGACACATAAAATGCAGCTATCCAGACTCAGTCAATAGGCGGGAGTCAGAAATAGAATAGGCACATGACTTTGAAAGGTGGTTTTTGAAGAAGATTGTGATGACTGGCTATGGACTTCATAGTTTGTAGATATAAAGTAATTTCAATAGCTTTTTGAGTAAGAATAAGTTAGCAACTTATTCATTATAGTGCTTATTACGCTGAACAGAAATCTCTCTGTAACTTGTCCAGTCAATAGGCGGGAGTCAGAAATAGAATAGGCACATGACTTTGAAAGGTGGTTTTTGAAGAAGATTGTGATGACTGGCTATGGACTTCATAGTTTGTAGATATAAAGTAATTTCAATAGCTTTTTGAGTAAGAATAAGTTAGCAACTTATTCATTATAGTGCTTATTACGCTGAACAGAAATCTCTCTGTAACTTCCCCATTTAGCTATGTCTTTCTGTAGTTCTAAATCTCTAGTCCCTCTTACACTTGAAAACATAAAATACATATAAAATTTCCCTTGCTATCTCCTCTTCTTCATGTTCTCCAAAAGTTGGCATTCTTCAGGGCCCAGTCCTTGGCCACCGTCTACGTTTATTCTCTATGTGATCTCATGTGGTCCTTTGCTTTAAATGCCACCTGTCCTCCCAGACTTACTTCTTTGCCTTGATCTCTCCCATGTATTCAAGGCTCATATCTATGTCTGCCTAGCCAAGATCTCTTTTTGAAAGTCTAATAAACATTTCAAACTTAACATGTTTGGAATAGGACTCTTGAACTCCCCTCCCAAATCCTGTTTCTGCCTCCTACTCCTTCATCTCAGTAAATGATCCACCCAGTTGCTCAGGTTAAAAACTAGATCTTTGACTTTTCTCTTTTCTTTTTAATCAACATCCAGCCCATCAGTAAGGCTTATATGTCATCCTTTCAAAATATATCCCAAATCCCCCTTTACTACTGCCACCCCACTACTACTACTTGAATATAACTTATAATCACCATTATACATTCCTAGATGATAGTAATAACTGGCCTTCCTTATCTCCTCCTTGAACCTCTCCAGTCAGTTATCCATGTAGGAACAAAAGTGTTTTGTGTTTTTTTTTAATGTTAAGCAGTTGCTGTCATTCCCCTGTTCAGAACCCTTTAGTGGCTATCCATCACATCAGTATAAAACCCAAGTCTCACCATGTTTTACCAGACCCTACATGCTCCTTGCTGATTTTATATCCTACCATTCTGTCTTACTCACTTTGTTCTGGCCACAATTGCTTTCTTGCTTTTCTTTAAATTCTCCAAGTCCATTTAGAATTAGCTAAATCTCTCCTACTCCCCTACCCTACACCATCATTCTAAACAGTCCAGCCTCTAGCCTTTTACCAGTGGAGGTATATTTAAAGAGAAGAAAAGTACATCTGCAAAGCTTTTTAAGCACAGAGACCCTAGTACAGTGATGGTGAACCTTTTGAGCTCGGCGTGTCAGCATTTTGAAAAACCCTAACTTAACTCTGGTGCCATGTCACATATAGAAATTTTTTGATATTTGCAACCATAGTAAAACAAAGACTTATATTTTTGATATTTATTTTATATATTTAAATGCCATTTAACAAAGAAAAATCAACCCAAAAAATGAGTTCGCATGTCACTTCTGACACGCGTGTCATAGGTTTGCCATCACTGCCCTAGTAGGAGAGGTCATACTATAAATGTTGTGGTTTTATTATTCCAAGTTTCTGTCATGTGAATTGGTTTCAAGTGTAAGAGGGTTTGGAGATTTAGTGCTACAGAAAGACATAGCTAGATCAGTGGAGAGAAGTTACAGAGAGAGATTTCTACTCAGTTTAATGAGCACTATAATGAATACATTGGTAATAGTCACATCGGCATGAAATAGGCTGGAGTGCTTCATAGGACAGTGCCTTCTTGCTTTTCTTTGGGGTGTACAAATTGGGGTGATCCCCTCATGGAATGTAGTGGAGGAAAACTATTTTGAAGTGGAGAAGGGGACAGTTGATTTCTTAAGATCTTCCTAATGCTGAGATGATATCTTTTAGAATATTTTTTTCAGAGTAATTATTTTCAATGTCTTCTCAGATTAATCTGCCAGTATTTATATTGGAAGCTTTTACCAATTTCACCAATGAAGTATAAAGCACTTCTAGGTGAAGTTTCCAATATTTGAGATGAAAGAAGAGCTAATATCAAGGTTGATTTCCAATCAGATTGGCCAAGTCCTCATCTAAGGAATTTATTACTTTGAGGCATTTTGTTCTCTCATTTTTATATAAAACTTATTTTGATTGATTTCAGGTCTAAAATAAGCAATATGTACATACTAGACAAGTTCCCTAGTAGATTTTAGTTATTAAGCAAAATTTTCCTGAGTTGTAGAAGTAAGGAATAT